CCTGCGTGCATCCATAACTCAATAGTGTACGCTGTGGTGTTTACCATTTGTTAAATGGTATGGAAGACAGGGGAATGACAGTGAATGTTTTACAAATAAAGTCAGTGGTACCATGTCAACTATTTTGCTGTCTAGTCGATAGATGCTTAATTAATTTTTCAGTTTCTGCTTTATTGCTATCCACAAATAAATTACTCGCTGATAACAGGACTTTCCCTCTGAAACTAAGAAAATTAATCCCTGCTTATTCTCATGGGGAGTTATTTTGACAGGAAAATTCAACTTTGAAGGGTTAGCAGCTCATAAGGAACTTAAATATTTTTTTATTTCCCATTTATATTAGCTGACAAATTGTTAGCAGTGATTCTTTTCTTTAAAATTTGTTTTTGCACCAGGATAAACTTGCCCTTAGCTATACTGCTAATACTGATGATATAAACAAAACATGGAAAGGAAGAGCCATTATACCATTAGAGTACTTCCCTCCTGATGTGACAAAGATTAATGCATATGCCATCCATGGGTCAGGGAATGGAAGACAGTACGAGGCTCTTCATCCAGCTTCCAAGGAGTTTCACACACCTGACTTGTAAGTGAAACTGCTTGATAAAATCATATAGTTGTGGTTGTTTCAAAAGAACAATGAATGTAGTTTATTTATTGTGAAGGCAAATTTACCAATTGCTGTTCAGGAAATAAGCTTCCCAAATGGAACAGTATAAGATAGAAACTGAGATAACAGCAGAGATCTAGCCTACTTCAGTCTTGTGTAGCTGGGCATTTGCTTTGACAAAGGGCTAATGCTTGAAATGTCAGCTTAAGAAACTTCTTACGGTGGCCAATTTAATTTATCAACTCAGTTGATAATTCCGAACTATCTTATAATACCCCCCCCCCCCTTATGATGCAGAAACTTACCCCCTTCATTCATTAATTTGACCTCTGTTTCTTTTCAGCCATCGGCTTCAGTTTTTCAAGGAATTTGATTTCAAGGCATTGTTTCCAACATCCTGGATACAACCTGAATCCACACACTGGACTAATATTTGAAAATAGCTCTTTATTTTATTTACAATTGGGGAGATATAAAGGAAATTTATCTTCACTTTTCAATGTGAAGAAACGTTAAAGAAGACTAAATTTATCAAAAATGTTTTGATGATTGAAACACCCAGAATGATACTAACAGTCTATTTGATTGTTAAGGAAAACTCTTTTTTTATCACTATTTATTCTTTGGTAAAATACAACAAAGCAGTAAAAACCAACTCTGAAATACAACATCAGTAAATTATGAATAACATGGATTACTGTGAAACTCAGCAATTTGTTAACCCAGGAATATTCACCTAAATGTTATAATTTTGTTCCAAGAAATAATCAATTTGCCATGAGAGAACCAAACCACACAAATGGTGATTAAAATTTGAAACTTGAAATTTAAAAATGTGGTCCTTGAAAGTTCTTGAAAAGTCTTTGAATTTTTTGTCAAAAGAAGGGTACAACAAGAATACCAGTGCACATTTACAAGAGGGGGTGTTGTTTATTATTAAGCTTTATTATATAGATACTGATGAAATACCAGGATTTCTCCTTTTACTAAAAAATCATATCTTCACCGCACACAATGAAGATACTATTTTTATCTTTCCCGTGTGAGGATATTGGTGTGGCCATGGTTACCAACATAATTACCCAACTGCTGTTTCGAAAATGAATAAAAAAAGTTGTCTTTTATGTGGAAATTTCATCAGTATCTATATAAAAAACAGAACATTACATGGTCACTTGGGGATACGAATTTTATCTTCTCGTGCTGTAAGTATCTCTCACTCGTTCGCAGTGCTCACTCGTGAGAGATACTTTCAGCACTCGAAGATAAAATTCGTATCCCCACGTGGCCATGTAATATCCTCTATGTCATCTAATTTACTGGTACCATTTTCCAAGAAAAGTTCACAGTGTATTTCCAACTCCAGTTGATGTTAGGATCAAGTTGATTAATTGCCAAAAGAAAGTGTATCACACCAGGGCCAAGTTCTTTATGAAGTGGAACTCTTTCAGAGATTCTCATGTTGCTAAGTGACAGGTCTAGATCAATGGTGTATGTAACGAAACTACAGGAATTTGCAGCTTCAAGTACAACACCACTCTTGTGTTCTCTCAGAAGCATGAAGAGACAGCTTTCATGTAAATTGTCAGCTTTTGTCACAGAATGGAAAACATCACCATCATGTTGCCACATTGTAGTTTGCGGTTCCTTGGCTTTCAAATGATTTCCATTCTCAGTGAACAATAAGTTACCAGTAGTAGCAGAGTAGTATATAGAAAGTCCATCTTTACAAACACACAGTCTTGGGTCCACACCCTTATCTGTGCAGGTCTGATAACTGCCATAACTACTGACCCTTGTGAACTGAGTCAACTTCATGTCCATTAAGACACTTCCACTCGTCACTTGAACTGTAACAGAGAAGATTTCTTGACGCTGAACAAAAATATCTAGTGTCACAGTAAGCACTTCACCCAACCACTTTTCTTCAATGTTATCAAAGGCTTCTCCCCTGAGCCGTTGACAGGATCCAAAGCCAGAATGTGGCCTTTTTGCTTGAAAGTTTTCAAGAAATTGGGATTGTATCTTGTTATTGAGTTGACCTAAGGCAAACTCAGCTATAATGAAGTGAAATGAGTTTCTGTTGACTTTTGTCACCCATCCTTGGCAGATGCAAAGTGTGGATTTAGGAAGGCCAAGGTCATCACAAGTGCGGTTACTAGGGATCTGGCGAAAGAGGCCAAGATTCTGCGGCAACTGTTCATCACCAAACTCTTCTGCAATTGCCATGAGTGTGTGATGCAAATCAACAATGCTCACCAATCTGCCTTGATTTTGTTTTAACATCCTTATTTTGTTTCTTCCCAACAAGTTTTGTACCCTCTTTGGTATTATCATAAATAGGTGTGGTTGAAAAACTTCAAACCGTCCCTCCATTGTTTGTGGGTAGAACCCATAAGTGTTTCCGTGGTCTGAGAGTACTATGCTTAAAGTATTTGGATGAGATGCTAACATGTTAACAAAATTAGATAACGCTGAATCAAGACTCTGAATCCTACGTCCACTCTTCTCGTGGCCTATGTTTAGCATTGAAAAGGCAAACAGTGGTTTCTTTTCTGAATCCAAGTGTCATTCCTTGAGAAAGTGCTCTAAATAGTCCAAAAACAAGGCATGGTAATGCTTTCCTCCATAGCACAAATTAGAGGGGCCATGAAAAATGTCTAGAATTCCAAAACGTTTTAAAACTTCGCAACTTGAGTGTGTTATTCCTGTAAAATCAATTGAGTTATTTTGTAGAGCCCTAGCTAAGTTATGCCATACTCTGCTTAAGGGTAAGCTTTTGTTAAGAACTTTAAGGTTCTTCACCAGGCCCCATTCATGAGTCCAACACATATCTTCTTGCCACATTGTCTGATATCCCAGTGATTTAAATTTGCCGAACATTACACCTGCTTTCACAGGGACTGGGTTTATAAACTCTTTTGCGTCACTAAGTTCCCCAGAAAATAAGGCATTAATGCTTTCAAACGTCCTTTGCTTGATGGCGTGAAAAAGCTCAAAATCTAAAACAAGTGATGAAGAATTTGAGTTAATACTTCGTAAAGCTTTCACAGTTTGAGGCAGTGAGCGATAGAAATGAGGTCTAGACACAGAATCGATAAGAATGATGTTTACATTAATTAGTTTTTTGTTAGACTTCCATCGCGGTTTCTCGGCTGAAACACTTCTAGGTGGAAGAATAAAAAGCTGGGTCTTAGCTGTAGGATTCCAGAACTCATCGCATCTTAGAAAAGCAAACGGGAAGTAAGCATCTGTAGGTGTCGTTTGAACATAATTGTTTAGTGTTTTCTCCACATCTTGAAGAAAAGAAAAGTGTTTCCAGCTAACAGAACCGTCTTCCGGATCAATGAAGCCCACAGAAATAATGTCTGAAGACCCACAAGAGGTTGTGTGACACTCGATTTTAGGAAGCCCCCAAGCTGTTTTCTTCACTTTGCAAGAATTTATCTGGGTGCTGTTGCAAGTCTGGTTTCTAGGATCTGTCGAGAAAACTGACTTTGCCAGGGCACACGCTTCTTGTCTCACTTTGGGTAAGCGACAGGACGACGAAGTCAAGGAAGACACTTTTTTAACTGAAAGCGAAGGACAAAGTGAAAATGTCTTGTTGCTTGTAAGTTTCCCCTGCTTCAATTTGTAACGCAATTTTTTCTGCCATTCTTCAAGGGAATTCCACCTCTGACGCGACTCTGAATGTTGTGCAAGATGATCAGATCCTTCCAGAAATAAAATTTGATAAATCAGAACTGTGGCGACCACGAATGCCAGCAAAAGAAAGAAAAAAAGGAACGATTTTTTCGCGTGACGAAATGTGGAGAAAAACACCGCTGGGAGAAAACAAGGACGAAACATATTGGGAAGAAATACTTAGGCACTGAACTGTCCTTGACATCAACGATGAGAGTGAACAGCTTCACCTGCGATGAGCTTAAAATAATAGACAATACACCTGTCCTTCAAAAGAAACCACACAATCTACAGAAAACAATCGACAGTTCAAAAAGCTTTGGCATGTCTGTTCGTCCGCCATCATGAAAATGAAATGAGCCCGCGACATCTACTGCATGTCAGTTCAGTTCAACATGGCAGAGTTTATGGAACGCGGCGAGGAATATCATAGAAAGACTTCCACAGATTCCAACTCCAGAGCGCACCGAAAATGCAAAGAGAAACTTCACAGAGCCTGTCGAGAATGTAAGTAGCCAGAATGGGCTAGACTTATTACCGTGGGGTGTATGAATAAGGTGTGATATTGCATCACATCACCGGCTCGTGACATAAAATCATGGAACGATTGATCACGACTTGAAACGTATTTATCTTTTTTTCAGCGTCATATGTGAGGTTTATGTTAGATGCCATGAGTAACCTAGGGTGGTAAGTAACGAAACTTTCTATTATACCGTAATCTCATTCCATTTTCCCCAGCCGTTGTGCATGTTGCATCTCACCGCAAGTAAATCTTACATTATCCAGCTTAGCCAGGACAGTTTAGTGTCAGGTGATTTTTTGGCCAAACTGTCACTTCTATCGACATCTACTAAATTGAGAGTCTAGAAATAATTTTAAGGATTTTCTACTACCGTACATATTCAAGCCGAAGAAATAGATAAATATTTTTGTGTACTATACAAATTTGCTGGAGTGCAGGTACTACTAGTAATGGTGCGTTGGAACCTTTGAGGCGCTGATTTTTTTTTTTTTTTTTTTGGAGTGAAGAGTGGGTATTTTGCTGTACTGATGTATGTCCTAAAGCCTTCTTTGTCCCTTACTTACAATAATACAGTGAAGTGGATCCAGAAAAACATATGGTTTGCGAGCCATGTGACCCAAAGCTTATTGGAGGGTTTGATCATGACACAAAGGAGGTAAGCTTGGAGCTCTGGTCCATTCCTTTAACTCTTTTCAACCTAACAAGTATTTAAATTCTCCTTACTATCTCTTTACATTACCTAAGGCGCTGACAAGGAGAATTTGTTTAACAATCAAGAGCTTCTTTAGTTGGTGATCATTTTCTTTATTCTCATGACCTTTATGTGTGATTTGAGGTTATATTGTAAGGAGAAATTAGGTGCAAGTCACTCTTAGGGGTCAAAGGTTTGTAAGCTTTAAGACTTTCAGGTCTTTCTATATTATTACTTGATGTCTTTCAGATGTTCCTATGTGAGAACACAATCTACACCCAAAAGGCAATGGACACTGTTCTCACCCACGAGCTGATCCACGCATTTGACAACTGCAGGGTCAAATACAATCCAGACAATGTGCGGCATTTAGCCTGTACTGAGGTATTCCATTCATGTACTCTAACTCAGCTTATAGATTTCCACTCTTTTTTTTTCCATAACAGACTCACTTGATAGGGTGGTGGTAAAATCTTGGTGACATTTATGAGTGTCAGGTACCTGAAGAACACAAGAGCATAAGCACCATCAACTTGCATCAGTGTGGTGCAATTTGTGGATTAACAGACCTGGGGCCCATTTCTCAAAAGTCTTGGTAACTTAATGGGCCAGAAGCCATGTTTTAAAATCAAAACTTAGAGTATAGGAAAGCAGGTTCTGGCACCCAAACCAGTCCTCTTTGTTTTTTTAGCTGACAGTTTTATTGTATCATTTTCAAATTTTTGAAATCCCTATCTTGAATGAAAACAGAACAGCGTTACGGGCCTGTTATGTTACTGGGACCTTCAAGAAACAGGCCCCAGGTGTCACAATCTCTTGTTGGTTCTCAAAAGAAGGAGCAACATTATCAAAATAATATCAAGCACACAAGTAATGAGAAGAAAAAAATGTCACTTATGGGATTATTATTTGATCCAATACCAATTTCTCTGGGCCAATATCATAAGAATTGTACACCACACAGTAAGGCAAATTACCAATGAGATCTGGGTGTGAAAGGGTGATTGTCCTTTCTCCTTCATTGACCCATCTAAGATCTCAGCCATCATCACTTGTAAGGGATCATTTATTATTTATTTACTAATTTGACACATTGTCTGAAATGTTTCTGTTTGTTATTTTCTTTTAGATTCGTGCCGCAAACCTTAGTGGGGATTGCTTTTTTTCAAAGGAGGCATTTGGACGCTTTAGATTCAAATGGAAAGCTCATCAGCAGGTATCTGAACACTGTAAAGTAACAGGATAATAAAGTGAAGTAACGGGATAGTGATTACCGTAATTTCCAGCCGTTTACCCGCACGGCCGATTACCCGCACCGGCCGATTATTGCATACAGCGAAAAAAAACGTCAACAGATTACCCGCACTGGTGGATAACCCGCACCTTAAGAGCAAAGGAAAGTTGTACTAAAAGGCTCTTGAATTCACAAAGTTTCATACTTGACAGTATGGGAATTCGTGGCCACATTTTGTGCGAGCGATCGTTCAGTGCCATGTTGATTTGCTGATTTCTCAAAAAAAATCGATATCTGCGGTTCTCCTGGGCCTAACAATTCCCTTAAAACGGGAAAATTCTCTTCAGCTCAAGCTCGTGTTAACTGGAAATTTGTCACTGATACGCCGGATATCCTTGGACTATTTTTGTCACAATCAAGGTTTTGTTTACACACGTGCCAATAAGAATTTGTTCGTCGCGCAACTAATTATCTATGCGTGAATCGAGTCGGCAGGTTTTCATGTCACTTTGTGGCAGTCTTAATGCAATAAAATTCATTTGAGAAGTGGAAACGCAGGGAGGTGAGAACTTTTTTCAATTCAGCGGCTAGTAGATTTCAAAATTGTTACATAACCCGCACCTCCCTAATACCTGCAGTGGCGCGTGTTAAAGTTTACCCCCGCGGATAAACGGCCGGAAATTACGGTATATAGCTCTTAGAAACTCTGTTCATTGGAATATTCAGTTGAAGAATTCTACATAACAGCCAAAAAGAATTCTTTTATCTTGAGATGGATAAGACCAAAAGAACACCATCAACCCCTGCCCAAAAATTGAAATAATACCATTTTGTTGTTACTATTTTTTTTTCTTCGCAGGAGTGTGTCAAGGAACGAGCAGTAAAATCTATGTTATGTGTTAGAGACATGTCCAAACAGGAAGCTCAAGAGGTTGTGGAGAGTGTGTTTGATGCTTGTTTCAATGATACAGAACCATTTGAGAGAATTCCTCCCTGACTGGTTTACAGATGTAGAATTATAATGTACATGGATAGAAAAAGCACTAAGTTTATCTGTAATGAGGAAAAAGAGACATTCTTGTGAATTTTTCTGAATGAAACTATCATGTCATAAAAAATATTTGTAAATGTTTACTTTTTAAGACAGTCTTGAAAGAGATTAAACTCCACAAAATGTCAGCATAGTATACCATGTCATGGAAGAGGGATTAAAAAAAGGCAAGCTTTCAATCCAGGATTACCACTAACTGCCTTTGTGGCAACTGCGCCCTTAAGTCCAGATGTCAAGTTGCAAAGTCACATCTTTCATTACCTTCCCATAACTTAGCAGAGGAAAAATGATTAAAAACCTTTCCTTCAATGTTACATTTACAATGGTGTTAACAATTTAAGACACGAGACAACAAGTTGCACAGGTAGTCTGTTAGCAGTCTTCTTTTTCTCTCAATATGGAACAACAGCTTTGGGGAACTAAAGACTGGTATTGGACAGAATTTGTCTGGACCCAACCCCCATCTCATGTTTACCACAATGAAGCAGTCACATTCCCTTCACACACTGCCACAAAATCCCGACAATAATATGCTAAGGGTTCCTGAGGAAAACTCAGTTGCTGTCAGCATTAATCTTTATTTATCTTCTTATTTATGTTTTTCACTACCATATTGGTCAGATAATAAGTAATGCAAAATCTTATTCAACAGCTTGTTAATCTGCATAAATAAATATTCTGTGGTTCAGTGCCACTGTCAGCCTAACAATGTATGTTCCACTGATTCTTAACTTTGCAGAATTCAAGCATGGACTCCATTCTGAACTGTTCTTTGCAAGGGTATTACACAAACACAGTTTTTTGCCTTTTTTAGTCTCCACCATCGACCCAGTCTGTGTTCTTGTCCAATGCCAGCTATCAGGTTGTTTCCATCATTAGAAAAGGCTAATGCATTCACAAAACCAACCTGACAAAAAGGAAAAAAAGGCAGTAAAGAAACCTGTCAATGGCTGATAATAAAAGAATTGTTCAAAAATTCATGAAAGTTTCATGAGTAAGGAATTAAGTCCTTTCACTCCAACAATAGAGACCTTAAGCAACCACGACGGCGGACGGCAACAAGGACGTGGAAAAACAAGAGATCTAATTGGCAGAACAATAGCTCAGCACGTGCGTTTTGAAACTTTGTACATTTCTTAGCCGTCCTATGCAAAACAACATGAAATCGCCAAAATTTGCGTTGTCTGTGAACCGAAACAATGATGGCAAATTAATTTAATTTCCATTTGGAACTCAACGCTACTTTTATACGTCATGCTGAAGTTGAGCTGTGGCACCGTATGAGACAGTAAGCTCATGCAGCTATTTTTGAAATTCTGACTAAGAGTGGAAATTCATTTTTTAATCAAAGTCTTCCTTGGTGTTGCTGTCCTGACTGCTTAAGGTCCCTAATGTCAATTCAATGCCAAAGCAGACAAGTGATGAGAATAAAGAATCAATTAGAGGATTTTAGGTTGATCCAATACAAAATTCTCCAAACCAACATCATAAGAATTGTGTGGCAGACAGTAAGGAGAATCACTAAAGAGATCTTGCGAGTGTAAGGGTCAAAAGAGGCATGCCTTTTTTTCTTTCTGTGGTTACTCGAGGACAATATAAAAAACTTGCAAAAATTACACAAGATTTTCATGCCACATGGTGGTATCATGTTGTTTCCTTCAAGAGGAACACCAGCAATTTCACACATTGCAGAAAAATGACAAGAAAAATTTAGACACTCTTACCATTGATAAGGAGAAGAGCTGCTTCAGACTTCTGAATCCATCGCCACATTCCCAGAGTTTGATACATGAATCACAAGAACCTGCTGGCAAAAGTTTCCAAAGACATCACTTTTGATAAACTACTTGTATTTGTCTCAGAATTCAAGTTTTTATACCATCAACTACTAAACCGTTTGCCAAAACATTTCTTAGTATGAGTTGTATTTAGGATAAATGAAAACAAGAATGTGAATGACTTAAAATGTTAGTTCTCTTAACACTTTACACCCTCACACCCAAGGGCTGTGGTCTGGCAACACCTGGTGGCCCCCACCCTATTCTCCATACTGTTCTGTATACATTTCCTAAGGTGGAAACATGGAGAATTTGTTTAACAATCAAGAGCTTTTTCTTATTGGTGATTATTTCCTTCATTCTTGTGACCTTACTGTGTGATTCAGGTTTGATATTGTATGGAGAAATTAGATGCTGGTCATTCTTTGGGATGAAAGGATTAACAAAAGTGTTACCCGAAGCCAAGAGATCTGTGCTTCGTAGGGTTGCAATTGATGTTATCCAACTTTCATCTGGAATACTGTCATCAGAACTGCTTTCTGGTTTACTATGAGCATTAGGTATTGTGCATAACGGCTTCTTCTTTGACACACTCCATAAGGACAGTGAGCTGTTGGTAAGATGAAATGAATGGAATCAAAGAAAGTAATGAAATGAGAAATAATGAAATATAAAATTTAAGTGAATAGGAAATTAAACATAAAGTGCCAAAACTAATCAAATCAAATTGAGTTAAGTTACCAATTTGTGTCCCCACATGATTATTATTCCATCTGGTAGATGCTAAAAGAGCACAGCTCAGGAAAACAATAACTTATATTTACATGAAATAAGGCAATGAATAAAGTCCAGTACATTATACTTGCCTATTATCTGCACCAGAAACCATGTGCTCATCATTTATTAACTGTACACAATCCAGGGAACCTCTACAAATGATCAAATTACGTAATGTCAGCAACAACACCATATTCATAATTATGTATTTCAGGAAAGAAATTGAAAAATTGTGGGGAATAGTCAATCACTCCCTAAATAGAAAGGGAAACAATTTTCTGACTTCAAAGAGCATATCTTTATGTGGTCATTTTTGCAGCATAACTGCATGCAAAATCCTTCAAATATCTACAGTGAAAT